AGGGCAAATAAGTGAATAAATATAATTTTAAATTAACTATTGTCTTTACCTCAAGGGATCTTTGTTGTAAAGCTCTGATAGAGTAAGATTTCAGAGTAGGAACTGATGTCGTAGGATAAGCGTTCGATGAGTCTAAGTCGTTACTCACCTGCAATATCCTGTGTAGGTAATCATCATCTATTCTGTTTGGATGCCACATCAATTAACAGTAGAAAAATATGCCGTTTACACTCACATGAAGTATAACTACATTGGCTCCATGAGCTTTAACAGAAGAGGAAGTTATTGTGTAACTTTTTAAGTGATGCTCTTTTTCTCTTTTTATTAGTGTATATTAATTGCACAAAGAGGGTTTCATTGTGATATTTACATAGATGCTTATAATGTGCTTTGATTGAATTAACTACCTCTATTACTCTTTCTTCTCCATCTTTACCTCTCTTTTTAAAACAATTTAAAGCATGTATATGAAGTACTTAATTATAATGATGCTTGATTAATAAAAGCCATTCTGATTAAAAATATTTTAAAAACTGGATACATAAAAGTGTTCTCCAAGAAAAAAAAAAGGCAGGAAAGGATGAAAGCAATCATGAGTGCACGTTCACTGTTGAGATGAGACAAAGCCACCAAGTGTGCCCATCTTGCAGCCCACTAAGTGGATCCCATGAGGAACAGACTGAATGTGCAAGACCGCAAGGCCACTTCTCCTGAAAGCAGCCCTTAGAAATTCTCAGATGGTGACAAAGGAAGCCAGGTGTGGAAACCAACTGGGGTTCAAAAGTTGGTTTGACTCAAACTCTCCTGTGGAAGAAGTAAAAATATTTTAGTTTTTAAATAATTTGCCAATGAAGAATAAAGTATTATGGATTTATAGCTAATCTGTAATTTCAGGCCTGTCCCCACCTACCAATTAAGATGGTATTTTAACTGAGAATCATTGGAAATCAAACTAGATTTCTGGATTTGTTTGGTTTTTGTGTTCTTTCTCTACCCATATTTTACTTCGTTCCTCTTACTTGGTTTTCCAGGCCCATGCTAACCATGGGATGTTAGCGCGGATTAGTATCTTCACCGAGGGTTTCCTGGTGCGAATGCCAGATCACTAATCATTTACTCGGGGGTTTTATCTACGGAGTGTGGGATGTCAGCCAGAGACCTTTTTTATAATTGGCTCTGCAAAATAAGTACAATGTTCTTGTAACTAAAAAGGTAACATTTAGTACCTGTGGTGAAGATGAATTCACACATAAAACCATCCATTTGTCTTTTTCTCTTTAGGGAATTTATTTCCCCCAAGAAACAAGAGAAATTTTATGACCTGCTATTTTAAGAGAGAGGTTAAGATTCTGTGTTCTGTTTAACTGAACATCATCAGTCATCCACTTGAACTGCAGCAGACTGCAGTGCTGTAGTCCTGAAGTGCAATGCTGATAATAATAGTGATTTTCTTTTAGGTACGATGGATATTGAAATGTGCACTACGTGGAACCTATGGTTTAATGGACTTTTAAAATAACTTGCTATTTTGAACAGGTTAGGTCTGTTTCTTCATGTGTCCTACTTTATTCTGACTTCTGTCAGGAAGAAAGAAAATGGAGATTTGTTCATTCTTCCTGCTACAGGAAGTAAATTCCCAATGGTGGACAATTATAAGCTATATGTTTAGAACCTGAGGAGACTAACTTATTTTTTTATTATCAGTGACGGACATTTTAGATGAACTTAAAGTGCATTTACTGCCTTACTTCTTATTAAAAACAACCTCTAAATTAATATTCATTTTTTATACCAACATAATTTCATGAACACTGTTTTTGTTCTTATTTATAAGTATGTATTCTTCTACTAGATTATAATTGTCTTGAAGTCTGGACCTGGAACTTACTCATTTTCATATCTACAAAATCTTAGCTTAGTGGTTTCTTGATGAACAGTCAATAAATAGTATTGAGCATATTCTGATTACTTCTACTCTGTTGTAATTTTTTATTGGTAGTATTTTGGTAGTAGCCATACAATGAAACTTGATAAAAATTTGCATCTTTTGTATCTGGGTTTCAAATGTCAGGTAAAGAGGTTATACAGTGAAAAGAATTTGGCATTTGAAATCGGTCAGTATTTGGTGAGCTGTGGAACAGTATACCTTGGGGGGATGCATGTGTGAAATAGTTTTAAAATAATAAAATATATTTTTAAAAGAAATAGACTAAGCAAGGCTTAAAACATTTCTTCTTGTTTCTAGATGTTTTTGTCTCGATCGTTTGTATGTAAATGTGTAAAGAGGTATTCATACATATGTGAGTGTGTCTGTAAAACTGAATCCAAATATAAAATTCAGGTTGTTGTTTTAAAAAAATTTTTAATTATTGGCCTTTGGGTATTTGAATGTTTTCAATAACTCTGAGGCTCAAAGTCTCCATTCACAAAATGAGGTTAATAATAACTATTTTGAAATTTTATTCCAAGAATTAATCATAATAATATATGCAAAGTACCTTCATAGTGGCTGATTTACATAGAAGACAAGCAATGTATATTGCCTTTTACCAAAAGTAATATATTTAAGTATTTCATTAGGGCCTTTTCAAATGTACACAGGATTGCATCAAGATTTTAAATCCAAGAAACTTTTTAAATACTTTCTGATTTAAAACATTCATCAATAAAAGCATTGTTTCATTCAGTGTTTATTGATTTTTTTCTTTTGAGGTCATTGCCTTTCAATTCAATAAATGTGCTTTAATTTAACCATCCATTCACTCAAGTAAGTTGGAATGTGTCCAAAGGAACATGAATACCCAAACTTGTCCTTTGAATAGCAGCTGAAAAATCCGGTGAAAACCTTACCAGAAATAATAATTAAGGCAACACTGATTTCATATTTTAAAAGATCGCCTCATACCAAAACTATTAAATATGTTCTTGCCAGAAGGAAAAATGGAAATCAATTTATTGAAAGCTATGGGATAGAAGATTTCAGCCCAAAATACAAAAGAAATACACCTGAAATTGGTCCCAAAACATTAGAGCTTCCTCAAAAATGTGTTCCTCTGTGAAGATGGGATAGGTGAGGTGTGATTTCCCATCATAGGAACTGCCTTTTACCTTAAGGATTCTTAAGGATTCTGGCTTCTACTGACCAGACATCCTCATAGGTCATATACTAGACTTTTATTTAATGTTGGGAAATCCCATGAAATGTGAAAATCAGGCATGTTTTTTATCAACTGCATTAAAACTGAGTCTAGAAAAAGAGGCTTAGGATTTTTCATATTTTTATCTCTGAGAGAATTGTATTTTCAGTCGTGTTTCCTTATTTTCATAGACTTAATGCTTATCCCTACGTTTTCTCTGAATGAATGCCTTCCTTCTAATTTGTTAATTGCATTTGACCTGAGTGTTTATTTAGAAACTAATGTTTTGTCATTTGGTGATTTTTACCAGTTCCTCTAGATGTAAACCGTTAGGCAAATGTACATAGGATTGGGGAATGTGAATATAGGAATATCTATAAGACGAAAAAAACTGGGAGGTGAAAGGTAATGTCTGGAAGGAATGACGTAACTCTCTTTAAAAAGAGGGTGATTAATTTTACTAGGAATCAAACCAAAAATGGAATATGGTGGTTATAGGAGAGAAATTTTTAGTAACCCTTGGGAATGCTTCAACTAGCTTTAGATACTGTTAGGAAAATAGAATACCTTAAATATCCTAAATCATAATATAGTTTTAGCACTTGAAAAGTAACTCCTACTTTGCAAACAATTTAGAGGATTTGACTAAACAATGTAGAGCTGTATCAAGAAGCATATGCTTCTTACTTTGAGTCTACTGTTCTAAGTCAGTCCTGATGTCCTGAAATATTTTCCCCTGCATCTGAACCTTTTCTCTCAGGTGTTTTGGCCAAGGGCTGTAATTAAGAAGCTTTCATTTTTACAGTATCACTAGTAAGGGAAGATGGATCACGAGACTGAATGAAGCCTTGCAGACATTCTTCTCCAGGAGTTTGCAGATGTTATTTTAAAATTGACACCTTTTGCATTAAGTAGATATTTTTAATGGAGGTACTGCTGTTGAAATGTTGAAATAGTTATTAGTGTCTTGGGATATTCCTGCCCCCACCCTCCTCCACTCCACCATCACAACCACTGAGCCACCAAGTAGTGCTGCAGTTAAACAAAAAAATCTGATCACTGCTCGCTTTACAACTGCATTATCTTTGAGTGTAGGTAAAACAAAATTATTTTAGGACAACGAAGGAGAGAATGCTCAAATATGTCAAAAATAGCCGTGAAGAATGGGCTGAAGTGAGCAAGACTCCACGGGAATGGAGGGAAAAGAAAGATACAAAATAAGGAAATTGGTCTTCATGCCACCCCAGTTAATCAATTCAAGAATGTAATTGACCCACCATTTCTCATACCTGTCACAAAGAAAAAAATCTAAGAAAATAAACCTATTTCTCTGAGTATGAAAACGCTATTGCCTGGGCGTGGTGGAGCACATCTGTAATCCCAGCACATGAGAGGCTAAGGAAGGAGGGTCAGAAGTTCGAGAACAGCCTGGGCTACATAGCAAGAAACTGTGTCAAAGAAACAAACAAAAATGTTAGTGCTGATGTGATATTAGTTAGATGTTTCATAAAGTCTGCAGCAATGATTTTCTCAAGGAGTTCTTCCAAATAACAATCAATGGGACATCCTCCCTGTAATCTGACAGAGGCGGCTACTTTTCCTTTCTGTGGATTATCTGGAAACCAACTGGCACCCCCAGAGCCTTCCCAGGATGAGGTGCAGTGATTTGTGAGTAAGGAGAACGGAAGAGGAACCTAGATCAAGCAATCATGATTTACACAGTGACCCATGTGAGAACTCAGTAGGGAGCCCAGGTTTAGTTGTTACTGGTGTTTTTAATGATTACTTTGCCAGTGAGTTCACATCTTACAATTTCTTGGGAACTGAGGCTCCCGCAAGGTGGTGGTATTCTTAGAACCTGTTTCAGTGTATTTTTCGTCCTGCATCCATGACTGTATGTTTAATATTGTCCTCTACCTCCTTGTCTGAAGACTCTTCTTGCCCAGGGCCACTTACCAGCTTAGCACAGGAGGGTAACTCCCCCTCAGGAAGAAAGTAAGTCTGTGTGCCGGTGGTACCGATCACCAGGACGTTTTTCTTCAAATCGATGGAACACTGATGTCTCCTGAGCATATCCAGTCCCAGAAGGATATCCATGGGCTGCTCTTCCAGTATAGAGAAAGAACACTGCAAGAAATCGCTTTCGATCTGAATCTGAGCTAGATGGATGCGACCCATAATCATCTGCGTGCCCACTCCTTTTGCCACCCCAGCCCAGCGGCGGTCCATCAGCCTTATGATGTTACATCGCTCAGCACAAGTTTGGCTCATGATGGTCATCTGAGCCCCTGAGTCAACAAAGGCCTTCAGAGGATGTCCGTTTACTTTGCAGTTAATATAGAGCATAGCTACTTGTCCAAAACTCTCTGGAACCTCCTCCATGGCTATGTTCATGTTTTCTTCAATGTTCTGCTGCCGGATTTCTTCCTCAATTTTGGCCTGAGCTTCCCGATCAAATGGATCAGCAGTATAGAGGCGCAGTCTCTCTTGCTCTCTCAAGGTCCTTTCCCTTTGCTGTTCCATCAGGACCTGAGAGAAGGTATCCAGGTTTCCACTGAGCAGAGCTTCGGCCAAAACTGGGTTGCGTTCCTTCAACAGAGACAGGTCATGGGGATTGGACAGCAGCCTGCTGCGGATCAAGGTGGGGCTGTCCAGACCGTGGGCAGAAGCTATCTTCTCTCCGGAGGCCAAGCCATGCCTCAGCCGGGCGACTGATGCGCGGTGCTGGTGCCGGGTGCTTGATGTTCCAGGCACTGCGCCTCCGACTCCAGTGAAATCTACTCGAGGCTGGTTTGGGGTCCGTCCCAGGGGCCTAGATCCCACATTATCCTGTTGAAGTAGAACAACGACATCCCCGTCTTTGAGGCCATAGGAGCCCAGGGAGCAGTGGTCGTCTACCAGGAGTCGCTCCATATAGATGATCTGCGTCTCTTCTGCAGGGACTCCAGACTCGAGCTCACAGAGGACTCGGAAGTTGCAGAGCTCAAAGTCTGGGCTGACCTGGAGGGAGAAGGTTCGCTCTGAGAGGTCCCTCCGCACACAGTACACGTTGATCAGCATGGCATGGGTCCAGGAAAGGCAGGTGGGCAGAGAGCATGGGGTGGTTCACTGGCTGACTGGGGCTGGATCCTCTTGATGGCCTGGCTGGTTCTCCCCACTTGGTGTGTGGTGTAGGGCTCATTCACCACTCAGAGAGGCCCAGCCGCTTACCAGTCTGGGGGCCGCCTCTCAGCCTCAGTGCCAGCCTCTGGGCCCATGCAGCCTGGAAGGGACAAGTTCATTTGTATGTGTGAGGCTGGAACTTAGAATACCTGTTCCCATGGAAACCGACTCACTCCTGGCCACTAGGTTCTAAGACAAGCCCTTCAAAACCTACTTAAGACCAGTTGTGGAAAACAACATGTTAAAATTCATTTTGTTCATTTTAGAGTTGTATTCTATGTACTTTTACTTATTCACAAAACAGTGAGGGCTTGTTTCCTACATGGCAAGTACCAAACTATGTTCGTATTGGGACAGATATGTCCAACTGGGTGCCTGCCCTTGAGGACCTCACATCTGGAAGGGGATAGGTGGGTAGACAGGTAAATCACAATACTGGAGGTAAACACTTGTACAAAGACCTGGCTAGCATGTCACCTTTAGTGCTACTTATAGAAATCTAGAAGATGTTCGCTAAGGAGGACAAAACGTGGGTGTTGAAGGATGACCATTTGCTGGGTGAAAAGTGGTAAGAGTCACTCCAGACAAAAAGAATTAGATGAAGAAAAGCAAGATTTCTTGACAAGTCCTGTTATTTCTAAAGAAAGATGAGATGTTTAATGCAATAGGAGACATTTACACATAAATTTTAGTGGTTGTATATGAAACCAAAGAGAATTATTGGAGCCAAGCTACAAAAAGGCATATGACAATCCAGGAAGTTTAAGTATTGTCAGTTAGCAAGAATCAGAGGGAGAGGGGGGAAGGAAGGAAGGAAAGAATGAAGAGATTTGAGACTGGTGTTTGTGATTTTTAAAAAAAAATTTAGCTGACTTAAGAAAAAGGCATCTTACAGTATTTGGAGGGCACATTGTGGTAGGAGACCCACTTCAGAGGCTTTTTCAGTCATTCATAGAGGTAAATAATGACAGGACTCAAAGACCTAGGGAAGACTGCAGGTGAGCAGTGAGGAGGACAGGTGTTTCTTGGTTACAATGGACAGGGTGTGTCCATTTGCATGTCAAAGCGGCCGAGCAAATGGATAACAGAGTCTGTAGAAAGTGAGACCAAGTAGAAGTACACCACTGCTTGAAGTGATAAGTGAGAGGAAACTTTGAGCTAACTGTTATACCTCTCCCTTAGCAGAGACACCTGCTACCACCCCACCCCAGGCATTATGTGCACACACAGCCAGTGGAGCCTCTCAGGGCAAGGGTAAATTCCATCAGAGCAAATGGCTATTTTGTAGAAGTCCTTGCACACCAGTTATTTTGCATAAAAACGTTTTGTACAATAAAGAGCTCTTGGGTCCCTGGCTGACTCCTCTCACATGTACCTACTTATGAACCAAAAGATAGGCAACATCCTCTTCTTGAACTTTCTCCTTATGTAAAGATTTTTGGAAGGCCTGCACCATCTCATAGAGAGTGATAGTGCATCAGCCTACAGAATTTTTTTACTCCTGTTTCTCAAGTGTTTGTCTCAAATGAAAGATTATGTCTCACTTATTGCTCTGATTATCACAATATTGGTGTACTCGTATTAGTTTTTGTTAGAGATGTTGACTGAGTCAGTAAACACAAAGCATGTGGGTTCTGGGTTCTAGCGATTCACACATGAGTAAAGTTAAATGAAAACTGTGTTCTTTTTTTAATTTAATTTTATTTTTATTTTATTATTTTTACATTTACTTACATGTGTATACATTCTTTGTGCCACCTCCCCCCACCACCAAGAAAACTTAAGAGATAATAAGAAAGACATAGCATTTTTGCTAGTTTGAGATAAAGATAACTATACAGAGATTCCTAGCATTGCTTCCATGCACTTGTGTATTGCAATCCACATTGGTTCATCTCTACCAGACTTCTTCCCTACTTCTTGATCCCCTTCCTATAGTGGCCTCTTCCAGTTTAAGATCACTTTATTCACTCCTCTACAGTGAACACATTCAAGTTTTAGGTTTCCTTCCCTTTCCCTATTCCTCCCGTTTGCATTTTCCCCTTAGTCCAATAATATCCATGTCCAATAATATCACTGCATTTGTTTTAGGTCTATAATCCACATATGAGGGAAAACATGTGATTTTTGGCCTTCTGAGCCTGGCTAACTTTGCTTAAGATGATGTTCTCCAGTTCCATCCATTTACTTGCAGATGACAAGATTTCGTTCTTCTTCATGGCTGCATAAAATTCCATTGTGTATAAATACCACATTTTCTTGATTCATTCGTCATGTGTGGGGCATCTTGGCTGTTGCCATAACTTGGCTATTGTAAATACTGCTGCAATAAACACAGATGTGAGGTGCTTCTGAAATAACTTGAGTCGTATTCCTTCAGGTACATCCTTAGGAGTGACATTGCTGGATCATATTGGCAGATCTATGTTTAGTTTTTTAAGAAGCCTCCATACTGTTTTCCATGGTTGTAGTACTAGCTTACATTCCCACCAGCAGTGTATGAGGGTTCCTTCAGTCTGTGTTCTTACAGGGGCTTCAAAGTCTGAAAAAGAACACAGGCATACACCCACAAATTGGGGAGGTAAAAGGACAAAAAACACCATGGAAGCCTGCACACATGGACAAAAGCAGTATCTGGAGAAGAAACTTAGAAGATGGCGGCGGGGAGAGGGGGAGCTAGAGGGTAGGGGATTTTGAACTGAGAAGGCTTCCAGAAAGAATTAGACCTAGGAAGATGACAAGGGGTTTCCTGTGCAGGGCCAGGACAGGAGGACAGAGGAAACAAAGGCTCAAGAACAGGATGTCCTGATTTATAGGCTTTAACTGGGAAAGACAGCACTTGGTAATGAGGGGTTTATTCAATTTTCAGGGGAAAAAAAAAAATCCAACATCAGAACTTCCCTATAGAAAAGTGTCAATTGTTTAGAATTATTTTTCACCAGTTACAGAGGTAGGAATAGACCTTTGGCCCATCAATTAAGTTACCCATTTTTTCCTGTGGTTCTTAGCATCCTACTAAGTTCATCACAGATTAGTAATGATTTCTCCGGAGTTGGGGACAACCATGAGGTCAGCCCTCACATGTTTACTGTCCTGCTAAAGAACAGATCGAGAAGCCAGTATTTCTCTTTTTAATTCTCCAAGTAGCTTTGAACAGTTTGTTCTTAAAACTTTATTAAGTTAGAGAGATAATGCTAGGCTTTTGTTTTTCAAATAGGAGATGAAATTTTTTTTGTAGGATAAGGTTTTTTTCTTTATTTTTTGGTAAAGCAAAATTGAGGGTTCACATTAAAGGAAACTAACATCTTTTTTCTCATATTCCCGTTGCCTGGATACTAAGCATTAGGAAACTTTACACAATATGTTTCATTATCTTGCTGCAATTCTTTATTTTTGTGGTGTTTTGCATTTACATGGTTTTGTGTCTTTACCTTTTTACTAAGAATGCACACTAGGAGGCAAAAATCCTCAAGGTCTGGCTAATTAACTCTTCCCGTGTCACAACTCACAGAATGCCAGGATTGGCAGGAGTGCTCTGGACCTTCAGGTCCAGCCACCCACCCAGGCCTTAAACCTTTGTTGCAAAACAGCTGGGATCAGAAAAGTAAACTATCCCCCTGGGGCTGTTCTGTACTTCTGTTTTATACACTGTTGGTTCTTTCATGTTGCTGAGCACCACTGGTGATTCAAATGCCATATGCCTACTTCTCTTAACTCAAAATTTTAATTAAAAACCTCATCCAATTATATAATAAACATGGAGATCATTGGGAGGGTATGTATATAAATACTCCTGAACGCGTTGTAACGTGAGTCCTTGTTGCACAGGCTGCTGGCAAAATGGTGTCTGCCTTATCTAGGAGTGTTAATCTAGGAAGCTGAAGGTTATTGCAGCTTTTCTTGAGCAGTTTTTTAAATGTATTCCCTGACTTTTCTTACTTGGTAAGTGCAATATAAGAACATAATTGAATCTTTCTTTGATAAGTGAGACTCCTGCAAGGTCTCAGGGCTATCACTCAGAAAATCAATTCTCTTTGTACAGCCTAAATACCCAGAAAAATAGAGATGTGGTGATGATTTCATACTAACTAAGTAAATAACTTCAAAGTTATTTTTTGGAATAACTGCACTGTGATGCCTTTTATAATTTTCCTCTGTCTAAAAACTTAATATGTCAACAAAAATCAGATAATTGATGACCCCACTTAGGGAGTCAGTTGATGTTTAAAATACTGTCTGTTGCTTTACAAGGCAAAATAAATGTGGGGTTTATTTTTGTGAAAAATAGAGTAATTGAATAGATGTCATTATGTAATATATACAATAATATACAAAAATTAAACCATGCTAAGTGCATGTATTGTTTGCTCTGTTGTAATTCCTTCTTTTAAATAAGTCCCTGGTATTATTTTTAAAGTATAATCAAGATTTACTAAGACAGTTAAACCGTCTCTTGAGATTTTTCAATGCAATTTAGGAAAGATGTAGAATTTTTAAAGTCATGGCATGAGAATAAACAACTAAGTTTTGTACTGCTCTTTCATTTGCTTTATAACAATACAATAAGTTAGGCCAGAACAGTCATGAATGGGCAGCATATATTTCATAAAATAGCTATTTGATAGATATATTTAAAAATGAAAAGGCTTACTATTGTCCATCTTTAAAGTTTAAACACCATACTAAGGCTGGTAAAATAAATATATGAACAGATATGTAATTGAAGAAACTTATAAAACCTAAGAATGTAGTTCAAACTGCTAAAAACTCAGTGGTTTCTCTACTCTGTAAGGAGACAAAAGGCACACACACACACACACACACACACAAGTGAGGGATAGAGACAGAGACAGAGGACACAAGTGACACAATACATTTTCAAATGCATTAAAAGTACA